TATTACAGGGCCCCCGATCCCCCTGAAACGACCTGGAGTAAAGAGCCTTGTTCAAGGACACACCGCTGGTGAAGAACCGGTTCAGTGCTCTAGCCCACTACACCACAAAAGTATTGAAGCTATGACAAAAATTTGCATGCAATTGTAAAGATATGAAATGAAATTTGGCTAGAAATGGAAAGCTGACAACATGGATTGTAAAAGGTTTTACTCTGTGTAAGCAGGTGCTCATGGAGAGCAGCACACGGATGTTTGGAGCAGACACAGATTGTCTCGCACATGTTTTAAGATTGTGTGGTTCATCCTCTCTGTGCACTCAGGCAAGGACAGCCTCGATGTCTCTTCCCCATCCATGATCAGATTCAGTCTGACTGCAGGCTGCAGCAGTGATGGACGGTAGAGACAGCTGAAGGTGGACACAGTGGTCTTCATCAGAATAAAGCTCAGGTAGATTATACACCCCTGATTTCATCAACATCAAAATATTTACAGATCAACTGTAGCTCATATAACGCATTCAGGCTAAGAGTAGAGCTCGTTAAGTACTTAATTGTAATTAAGCATCTACTGATTGGTGCATCTGTTTCTGACGCATCCAGTCTGAGCCGCACGGAGGGATATTAACTGTGCGGCGGGGGGCGCGCAAGATGGCGACCGTGGAGGATGTTAATCTGTGAGGTCGAGAAGTTTCTTCTCCCAATTCCCACCCTTTGTATTAATTATATTACCCTGATCGAGTAATAACTCTGCAATCTTGTTTACTCCACTTTTGAGCTGTATTTGTATAAGGTGTTTGCCATTCTTTTTGCAGAAAGATAAAAAAAAAATGCTTGGAGCAAATTATAGATGATTGCCAGTCAGGATTCATGAAGGGCAGACATATAAGTAATAATATTAGTTTGGTCCTAGATTTAATTGATTATAATGAGTATATTGATAGTGAAAGTTTTATATTTTTGGTAGATTTTTATAAAGCATTTGACACCGTTAACCACAAATTTATGTTTGAGATTTTGGATTTTTTTGGCTTTGGTGATTTCTTTAAAAGGGCCGTTTATACTTTATATAATGGGTGTAATAGCTCAGTAAAACTTGCAAATGGCACTACCCCCAGATTTCTCTTAGAAAGAGGCATAAGGCAGGGATGCCCAATATCTCCTTTTTTATTTTTACTTGTAACCCAGACAATGACTCTTTACATTGACAAATATAATTTTCAAGGAATCGGGATTTTAGAAAGAGAAATAAAATGCTGTCAATTTGCAGATGATACAACAATATTTGTTAGAGATTCATTGGAAATTAAAAATGTGATTGATTGGTTGAATGACTTTTCAGTGGTCTCGGTTCAAATTAAATATTTAAACAAATGTGAGTTGTTCCCTCTAAACAATTGTGAACTTCTTGATATTAATGGCATCCCTGTAAAGAATCTTGTTATCTATTTAGGAATCAAAATATGTAAAGATGAAAAGGAAAGGGGACAGCTTAATTTTCAACCTGTGGTTCAAAAAGTTAAAAATCGATTTCATTTATGGTTAATGAGAGACCTGTCAATGAACGGTAGAATTATTTTATCAAAAACTGAATGTTTATCTCGTCTGCTCTATCCTGCTATTTCACTAGAAGTCCTTAATAACATCATTAAAGAAGCGGATTAAAATCTTTACAATTTCATTTGGAGAAATAGATCTCATTACATTAAAAAAGGTACCTTAACTAATTCGGTTGGTAATGGAGGCTTACATGTGCTTGACTTCAGCACATCAAATGCAATTTTAAAGAACAGATGGATCAAGAATTACTTTCAATATAAAAATTAAATTTGGTATTTAATTCCTTATCTAATCTTTGAAAAGATGGGTGGTGTTGCTTTTCTGTTGCAATGCAACTTTGAAATGAGTAAGATTCCAGTTAGATTAAGTAATTTTCACAAGCAGTTCTACTCTCATGGATGCTTATACATAAGCATAATTTCTCTCCAAATAAATGTATAATTTGGAATAACAGGTATATAATGTTTAAACATAAAACTTTGTTTTTTCAAAAATGGGTAGACAATGGTATTATATTTGTTAAACAGTTATTTAATGAAAATGGGCACTTGTATACCTACATAGAATTTCTTCAAAGGTATAATATTCCAATAATCCCTAAAGAATATTGTATAGTGTTTGATGCTATACCATCCGGACTGAAATGGCTGTTTAAAGGAAATGTGAATAAGGAGACTGTGAGTCTCAAACCTGATGTTGCAATTAACAGAGTTACTATTAATGATAGAAAATGGAATAATTACTTTATCAGGAAGTTACTAACAGAATACAGCCCAATATCTTCTAAAACATACTGGCATTCTAAATCTGAGTGCATTGACTGGAAAAAATATTGCATAACAAATAAGGTGAGAGAAGTACATTTTCAAATACTCCATCTGGTGTACTCACTCTTTTTCTTAGATTTCGTACTGATGTAGGTGTTATATGTGATTTCTGTTGGACTGAGAAAGAAAATGTTGTGCACTTATTTTGTAACTGCATTTATAGCTAAATGTTTTGGATGGATTTGGAATGTTTCCTTTGTAAATGCCTGGGCATGAAAGTTTACTTTTCTGAAAAAGATGTATTTTTTTATTTTAATAGACAAAGATTACCACCAAATGTGGCCTTTATTGTTAATCTTTGTTTGATTATGGGCAAATACCATATACATAAACAGAAATGGGCTAAAGGAAAACCCAGCTTTTTGTTATTTCAGATAGATATGAAAAATTATATTGAGTTACTACTTGGGTTGAAAAACAGTAAAGCAAAACGCACTAGGTCTCTTTGTGAAGCTTTTCTGTTATTTATATGATGATCTCATATTTTTACCTGTATTATTATTTATATAATACTGTATATTTTCTATTTCTTTTTTTGTAGTTTATATTTGTTCAGTACCTTTATATTATATGTTGGAAATCAATAAAAAAAAAAAAATAAATAAATAAAAAAATTAAAAAAAACAAACCGGCAAGCAGTATCTCGCGAAGCTCCCTCTGAAGATTCGCGCGGCGTTTCTGTTGTTTTACCGCTTTGAAAAGTTAAGTCCGTCGGCGATTATAGCGATCCAACATCTTCACATTTGCTGGATTACTAATCACTTCATCACACTTTGCTGGATGCCAAGTAGGTTGTTGTTTAAACGCTGCAAGGATGTCGTTGAGCAAGTGTGTATTTTGACATGGACTGACGGATCGGGAGTCTGAAAACTATCAATCTCAACGCTTAAGGAGTCACCGAGTCACAGAATTGAATCGGACTTTCTGGAAAACGAGGTTGTGAGTAAAAATACAGCGGCTGTGGATACTGTTGACTGTTGACTGATAAAATTAGTATTACTTTTTTTTGTGTGTGTGTTTCATTTGTGCTGATGATTATATCAGAAACTGAACGGAATGTTTTGGGCTTGAATTGATCTATTTTCCTTGGCTGGATTACATTGCTTATGCTATGGACAATTTCTAATGAACTGCTTGCTCTCCTTTTCTGTGCATTTATTGTTTTGTCTGATTTGATGAACTTTTGAACCTTGAATATACTGATCTGAAAACGGCAAAAGGTGACTTATTGTGTTCAATGTTATTTTTTATGTTGAAGGTATTTTTTTTCCATTTGTAAAATTTAAGGATTTCCTAACTCACCAATTTCAGGAAATGTGGCTATATAGTTACATAAGCCTTTGTATGTTTCTTGACTTAGACTGACTTGACTAAGTTTGGTTTGATTAAACGACAGAAACTCTGTCTGGCACCCCAGCATTTAAAAAGAAAATTATTTTTTCAACCAAGAGCAGGAAACGTTACATGTATACCTACATAGAATTTCTTCAAAGGTATAATATTCCAATAATCCCTAAAGAATATTGTATAGTGTTTGATGCTATACCATCCGGACTAAAATGTCTGTTTAAAGGAAATGTGAATAAGGAGACTGTGAGTCTCAGACCTGATGTTGCAATTAACGGAGTTACTATTAATGATAGAAAATGGAATAATTACTTTATCAGGAAGTTACTAACAGAATACAGCCCAATATCTTCTAAAACATACTGGCATTCTAAATCTGAGTGCATTGACTGGAAAAAATATTGCATAACAAATAAGGTGAGAGCAGTACATTTTCAAATACTCCATCTTGT